ATCTTAATTCTTTTCTTATCACTTCTCTGTCCTCTTCGCTGTGCTTCAGTTTTTTGTCGATCTGATTCAGTTTTGCCATCAAGTCACCTAGCTCAAGAGTAGCCTCTTCATGGTCAGCCGTCGGTCTGTCTTTGGCTGTTGCTTCTGCTTTAGTTTGTTCCTCTCTTGGATTGGCTTCTGTCGTCTTCGTGCTCACTGTCCCAAATGTTCGTGCTCTTTCAGCTTTTGGTTCTTCAGTCATGTTTTCTTTCGTTTTTATTCCGACCATCATCGCCAACTTTTCTGTAAAAGATGTCTTTTTTACTTGAGAGTCTTCTTTCACCGTTTCTTCGGTGTTGCCTATTGCATCTTCCACATTGTCTATTGGTGAGAACTCTATGGGTTTCGGGTTTGGTTCTTCTGCATTGGGCATTGGAGTTGACTCCGTCGCCATTTTCCTTGTTTCATCCACACTTTGATCAGGTGTCTCTAGATCAATCTCGATGGTGGGTTCTACTCGTTCCCCTTCCGTGCCCTCTTTTGCTCTGTTCTCCGTTGTACTCCTTGTGCTGACCTGAAAAGCTCTTCTGATTAACTGAAAAGCTCTTCTTTGTTATCTTCGGACCCATTGATGTTGTTTTGCGTAGCGACGAATTATACTTTGTCTTTGCTTCGGTAGACCTTTTTTCAGCTCCGCCTCATTATTTACAATTGTTATTATTTACAGTATTATTATCTACAAAATTTCTACTCTAAGGTTAAAACTCTAAGTAAAAAGAAATTGACAACTCGCTAAAAACAATTTTTCTTAAACTCTTGAAAACTTTTATGTGTTGGGTTAGGATAGGGAATGTGTTGTTATAATTGGTTACTTCAACCTAACTTAGTACTCTTGTAGTACCCCTTTCCTAATACTGTTCCAAGACTTTCTCTCTACCGTCCCAAGACTATTCAGTGTTGTCCCAGTACTTCTTATTGGTATCCTCAGACCAATGTCCCAAGACCAACGTCCCAAGACCAACGTTCCGAGACCAATGTCCCAAGACTAACGTCCCAAGACTAATGTCCCAAGACCAATGGCCCAAGACCAACGTCCCAAGACTAGCGTCCCAAGACCAATGGCCCAAGACTAATGTCCCAAGACCAATGGCCCAAGACCAACGTCCCAAGACTAACGTCCCAAGACCAATGTCCCAAGACTAACGTCCCAAGACCAATGGCCCAAGACCAACGTCCCAAGACTAACGTCCCAAGACCAATGTCCCAAGACTAACGTCCCAAGACCAATGTCCCAAGACTAACGTCCCAAGACCAATGGCCCAAGACCAACGTCCCAAGACTAACGTCCCAAGACCAATGGCCCAAGACTGTTTCGTACCAAGACTAACGTCCCAAGACCAATGTCCCAAGACTAACATCCCAAGACCAATGTCCCAAGACTAACGTCCCAAGACCAATGGCCCAAGACCAACGTCCCAAGACTAACGTCCCAAGACCAATGGCCCAAGACTGTTTGGTACCAAGACTGCTCTGGTCCAAGACTGCCCCAAGGCTGCACTGTCCCAAGACTGTGTTGCCCCAAGACTGTCCCCAGACTGCAATGTCCCAAGACTTCTTCGGTACTGTCCCAAGACTCGTCACTGAGTGTCTGGATATCGGATCTCTTTCTTCTTCGTTGTAGGGACTTCTTGATTCACTGTACCTTGTACCACCACTCAAGCTCTAGTGAAAATTTTCCCAAAAACCCTCTCTAAATGGCCAAATGCTAACCCCCCTTTTTGAATTACCTCTTTTCTACGTTCCAAGCAACTTGAAACCAAAACCTGTGCGCAGGTATCTTGTGATCACCTGTTCGTATAAAAACCAATCGCAAATCCTCACCAAAATGCATTAATATATAAAAAAAAAATTTTAAACAAGAAAAAAAAACAATAAAACAGAGAAATCAACCCACCTAAAATTCAAAGGAGACAAATGTCGACCTTCGGTCGAAAAAAAATGTCTGGTACCTAACTGCCACGCGTTTTCCTCCCCCCACTAGCGATCTTATGGGGTATCACCAAAAACTGTCTATATCCGTTCCCCCCTACCAATCCAACCAGCGTACCAACCTTAACTCGAGTTAAATTTTGGATATCCACCTATTATTACCAACGCGTGTTGATGGCTAATGTAACTAAATCAACGATGTCGATTAATTAGTTACTCTAATTTCCCCCTTTTTTACAATTTACAACCGTCAACCTCTAACCTAACCAGCCCCCCTACTAACCTCCCCCCTCTTTAGCCCCCCTCTTAAGCCGAAAAATCCCTTAAGCGCCGGGTGCTAAACCTCTCGAGAGAAAACCGTAGACCTGTTTCCAGGCCTGCTTGAGTAAAAACTGCCTCAACACAATGGGACTCCGCTTATCCAATGTTACACTTATTTCCTATAATGTAATGTGGATTCTAACGATACCCGTTGTTCGACTTGAGAACACCCCTTTACGTCCTCTTGTAGTGGTCCTGTGCTGGTTGTCTCTGTTCTAAACTTGACAGCAGAACCACTTTCCCACTCGACTGGTCACCTCTTCCAATCAAGTCTCCTAGTGGTCCGTTTCGATCCTTGTGAACCACTCTCCCACTCGACTGGTCACCCTTTCCAGTCAAGTCTCCTAGTGGTCCGGTTCGATCCTTGTAAACACTTTCCCACTCGACTGGTCACCCTTTCCAATCAAGTCTCCTAGTGGTCCGGTTGGGTCGCAATCTATCTGAAAACCCTTAACAACGCCCCCCACTCGGGCACCTTATTGAATTCACTGGTTTAAATTGCTAGATTGATCGAAACGATCGGTCTTATAAAACAGTATGTGTATACTATTTAATTAATACAAAGGTTTGATCCAACTAATTTGGTATCAAAGTCACTGTCTTTTTTCGTTTTATGGTTTTTGTTCCTTTTTGTATTCTTTTTTGCTCGTGTTTTTGTCCCCCTAGTTGCCCCCTTTCACTCGGTTAGCTAAGCCTCGTTCGGAGAGCGTACCAGGAAGTTTTCTTGAGTTTTCTTAAAAAGCTATCACGGTACAACCGGAAGGTTTAAACGTTCCCGCTGAACCGTACCACCGGTACTCTAGAATGGGCATGTAGCCCGAAGCTGTGTCAAGTGGGTTCGACTCCGTAGTCATGATGTCGTAAAAACACCCAAGAGCGCCATAAAAACACTATGTAACATTCGTCTACTGCAGTCACACATGAGGCTTAAGAAAAATAGGCCCTATAACCATTGGCTCAAGAGTCAGGGACACTATTTCTTGTGTTTTTCTAACTCAAATCAGTCGGAGCCAATTCGGTTCGTTTGTGACATGAGACTACGACCCGTTACAGCTTAAAGGCTACTACTAAAATATCCCCCCACTCTAGAATTAGGAACGTCCCCATACTTAGGTCTCTAGATACCCAAAATACATGAACGCCGTTAAAAACCGGGTCGGAACAATCCGCTTAGTTACTTTTTATTGGACAGTGGAACTTTGATCCATTTCAGATGGATCAACCTAAAACTCGCCTTATCTCAACATAACTATCATAAAATACACTCGAGAAATTTAAATTGAGAACTCACATGTCGGTGCGCTTGAGTATGAGGAGTAATTAAAAGATAAGTAGCTCGAGGATTAAATAATATAACTAAATAAGTTTGATGCTAATTAGTTTTAACAACAGAAGTAAGTTTTTTCTCAAGAATCAAAGTTTCTGCATGAACCATCGGGACACTTGAGTTGTCCTCTCTTCCATTGAATGTTCACTCTGCTCCGTTCGAATAATCGTCCTTTCTCAAGTCTGTGTTCTATTCTCCTGTTTTCGGGATAAGACAGCTCTACTCTCTCATTATTTCGTATCGAGAAATTGCGAATAGCAATTTCCTGCCTTTTTCTTGAGTAGTTTCCCGCAATTGTTAATTCGGTCGTTCTGATTTTTCACTTTTTTGTTTTCAGTTGGTTCGAGAAAACTGAGCATGACAGGCTCCATTCGAAATTTTTAAAATTAAAACTTCACTCCAAAATTACGTGTTTCTCAAGGTCAAACCTCCAGACATGACCGACTGTCGACCCGATGTTAGAAAAAGCCACCGAAAGTACTGGCTTGGTAGAGACGGTGAAAAGCATATAAAGCTCTGTTTAGACGTTAGCCAGTCGTCTTAGGACTTAGTTTTATTTTCCGTCGATATGTATCTTCCGGGCGAATGTTACAAAGTAATGTGGTCATTATTTTGCAGGCCACGAGTAATGAAACTCACAAGGCACAAAGCCAAAGAAATCACTCTCTTCTCACCCCTGTCTTTGAAGCGCAGACACTTCCTCTGCCTTCAGCTTCTGCTCACGTCTTGCTTTCGCCTTCCTCCTTGTCTGTGATGGTCTCTGTTGTTTGCCCCTGATATTGCCAATCAGCTTTGACAGCCTTTCTTTGCGTGCTCCACTTGGGTAGCCACTTCGGCCTGTACTTCGACCGGCATGGACATTCACTAAACAGTCAAAAGAGTACAAAAGAGGCAATACAAGAGAAAGAATAGTGTAAAATGGATTGTAGAGAAAAGGATTTTTAAAAAAACAATTAACAAAAATGAAATGAAAGCGATTACAACCTGGTCTCCACGGGTGGAGGTTCCGGCGGGTATGTCCGGGTAGAGGGGGAGTATCGCGACTTGACGAGCTTGTCTCTAAAATCCCGTCCCGTGCCTTCTTACAAGCGTACCATTATGAACGTATCATATCACACGAAACTATTTAATAAGTTTATCGCAACAATTAGGCTGTTCAATAAGTTTATCACAACAATTTAATATTCATCATAATGATTAAAATTAAAATTTATAAATATCTATGATTATTTTGAGAATACGTTAAAATTGTAAATCAAACAATTGTTTTCGCACATTATTGTGCATCTTCAGGTTTAAAAAATCTAAACTATCTGTACAAAATGATCAAAGATCATAAAAGTGTCATACACGCCATTATTTCAAAACTTTACAAAGGTTTTTAAATAGTTTTCAGACACTATGTAAATTTTCAGAATTCTGAAGCGAAATGCTGCTAGCTCCAATTCACGATGTCGGCAAAAATAATAATAGCATTTTCTTTTCTTCATCTCTTCGAACTTGTTAGGGTTTATTCTGAAAACGTGACAATAAGCAATGAAACGTGTGCGTTTCAAGAGTTCAATTTAAGTCTTCATCATTCTGTGCGAAATTTTGTCGACGAAAGAATATCGAATAATTCTGTCGAGTGTAAAGAAACGTGCTGCCTTGCCAAACTTTGCGATCTTGCACTCTTTGTGCCGAAAAATGGGTCTTGTCAATTGTTCAACTGCTTTACTAATCAATCGGTTCAATGCGCGATGGGAAACGAAACTGATTTGCAAACGCTGTACAAAATGGTGATGCTGAGAAAAGAAGGTAAATTATTGCAATTGCCTACAAGAGTTGTTGAGATACTTAGAGGGTGTTCGATGAAATTCTTACATTTGCCTTATGCAAGGGTATTGCAATTGGGTACTAGACTTTCCTCTTAAATAAATTTGTTGACAGAATGGTTAATTTTTGCAGGAATGGTAAATTTCATCCTCATTAGCTGGCAAGTTAAAATTTTGGAAAATTGAATAAACTACAATCCTTTAGACTGTAATCAGATGGATTTGGTACTACTATGATAGAGTGGAGAAAGATGTCGCAGTATATTTTCAAACAAATTTTAAGTTTCTTTTTTTTTTCGTAAAACCTCCCCTCTCAACATAATAAGGAAGAAAATTGAAAAAAAAGTTGCCAAAATCGAACTTTGATGACAAATTAGCCAATCCAAGTACGGTTTTAAAACCGTAAAATAATTTGAAGCGAGCAATTTCTTGATATAAAAGTTATAGTAATTACTATTTTTAATCTGAAAGGTTTCTGATTCAAGATATTTCGCCAGATTTGGATAATTTATAAACAAACTAGTTTTCAAAATTATTACATGCGAAATGCATGCACACCTGTCTATCATAGTTGCTTTTTCGAAGGACCACTCTATCATTGTAGTACCTATAATTTTTTTTTCGAATTTGTGGTTTCCGTCGGTCCAGTTATCTGGTTCGGTTTTTTGTCTGAATTTCGAAAGTATGGGTTTTAGATTGATAAAAACAGTTTTTCCTCTCAAATTTGTGCATTTTATTAATTTACCAAGTCTATTTTTAATAGTTTTCTTTGTTTAATTTCATTTTTTTCGATGAACGATGTTGGCTTAAGATATTGGTTTCGACAGCTTTGGAGGCGAAATTTATTTTTATGCTTCTATGTGTTTCAGTTCAGATGGGTCGTGAAAATTTTGCAGCTGAGTAAATCAGTTTTTTTTCAAATTTGTTTATTTGACTCAAAAGGTTTGGCTGTATATTTTGGCTTGGAGACCTCTTTTGGAGTCGTTTGAGAGCAATTAGGTTTCATCTAAATCTTATGAGGGAAGACTTATCATCTTTTTTTTTGCTAAGCAATTTTTTCGGCGCAACATGTGTCTGCTCATCAATTGTCGTGTTTGTTATTGCTTTGTAAGTTTTGTTTCGATGCTTATTTGATGTTCAAGTGTCTTACTTCTTGAATTTTTTCCTGAAAAGAGTTTTTATTCAGACGAAAAATAGACAAATTCTGGAAGTTTCTTGATAGATCGATTTTTCGATATTTTTCAAGAAAAAATTTCTACTGCTTTAACTCTATTTCTGTCGTTTTGTTTTTTGATGCCATGAGTGTGTTGTATCGCATGTAATGCTTCGCTTCTAATTGTAATCTTTCTAAAAGTGCAGTTATTTTGGTTTCAAGATATTCGGTTTTTTGCTTATTTTTGAAATAATTAAAGTTTTTTACTTTCCATTAGTTTGTCCATCTGCAAGTAGTGGTATTTATTCATTTTTCATCGCAAGTCGTGCGAAGCTCTGCTTCGCAACAGTGTTAAAAACTGCTACTAGATTTGCATTGGCAATAAGCGTTGAGAATCCGTAAAAAATTGGAGACGAACAATTGAGGTCTTTAGTAAGACGTTGACCTAGGCTTCCCGATGGGATATTTGATTTAAACGCGCCCTCCCGCGTAAATGCGGTACTGGGCATTAGCATGATATAAATGCATCCAATCAACTTGAAACTAAGATTTATAAATCAAAGCACGCTCAGATTGATTAAAATTTATTTAACAGTTAAGCCCCCCCCCCCCCCCCCCCCTTCCTCAAGAATGGGTTCCTGGCGATGAATCAACAAGCGATCCGCGTGAAAATGATCCACGTGTGCAGAGTATTGCCGCTTAAAGTAGCTGCTTAAAACCGCAAAGCTTAATTTCGGGCGCAGGTAAGCGATGTCAGCTAGTCTTTTGAGGATACGCGAGGACGACGGTCCTGCTCCCCGTGCAGGTTAAAATTTGAGAGTTAAAGCTATCATGTTCGACATAACAATTCGTTGCTCCTAATTCAGCTTCTTTGAGTTTTCTTGCTGTTTGTGAACGTCTTTGATGTTTCATGAGCATGTCTTGGCATGTGGATTGAAAACCTTTACTCCAAAATATCTGTTACTGATTTAGGATTTCTATAATCTGTTGGCTCAAATATCCACACTTGCAGCATCGTGAGTGCTAGTAGATTTGAAGGTGAAGATTTCCAGCGGTTGAGGAGACGGATCAGTTTCGACATCGTAGCACGTTTCATTTATTAAATCGGGATAAATTTCTCGTATATCATTGAGTATAACATTTTGGGAGTTTATTTGGTTCCCGTCCATAGCTTAGTGCAATGCCGTCCATGAACTCTGCCTTTGTTAAAATGAAATTTTTCCTGATGCTAAATTCAGCAAGTAATTCTTGATATTTTTTTTAGAATAGTTTTTGTTCTTGTGTTGCTTTTTGTTTCTAATAGGGGTTGCAATATGTTGCTGGTCAGTGTCTGTGCTTTCATCATTTTCACTAATAGGAATGAACATTTCAATAAAAACTTTTGAAGTGCTTTTTAGTTTTATTCTATGGGAAGGTCAGGTTCAACCCTCCATCTCTAATAGGGAGAGATAACATTATGTGGAACCTTCCATCATTTGATGTGTTTTAATGGAGCCGATATTGGCTCATTTGCCACCAAAACGTTCACGAATTTCATTCCAACAAATCTCCAATCATCGTATTCAAATCCAAACCTTTCAATTTTCTTTTAAAAAGGAACGGCTTCGTGTTGCGGAACAATTCTACAAAAGATAAACGTCAAGCATTTGTTTGGTTCCCCTTTCCCGAAATTTTTCTTTTTTTTCTGATACTGCTAAACAATTTTATTTAGTTTTGGGCTTGCAGATGCTGTAGATGCTTAATTTCTGCTTCCCTATCTTTCCCAGTTTTCTTCCACCTTTGACAGAACTTGCAAACTTTGCCTTTTTCATTTTCACATTCTGGACCACCATCGAACCACCATTCTGTTCCTGGTCTCGCGCAGCGTCAACAATCTCAGTCAAATTCGGAAGATCACAGGTATCGGTTCGATTCAGTTGAACACGAATGATTTGTCGTCGTCTTTTTCGCCTGTTCACTATCTCTGAAAATGTTAATGGGTTCATTTCCTTGTTTTGAACCTTCGCATTTTTCGTAATATTGGTCAATTCACCAAATGCAGGGTGCTCGGTGTTCAATTACGCATTTGGATGAATCTCACAATGTGTGTGTGTTGTAGCGCGAAAATTCTATTTTACAAGCCCTGTTTTTTATAACCTACCCTACCTCCCCTGCCCACCCAGCCCTCCATTCACCACAACCCTGCCCGGTCCCCGTCCACTCCTACCCTTCTTTCTCTCCAACCCTTTATAAGCAGTGATAAACAATGCTTGAACTATAAACTCAGAAGGTTGGTATGGTTGCAACTTCATAAGGTCCCAATCTCTGTTAAAAGAAAAAAAAACAACTCACCATCGCCGATTGAAAGTAATATTGACCCTAATTGTAAGCAGGAGAGTAAACAGGATTAACAGGGACTGTGCCGCCATTTGTTTTAATCGAATATCGCTGCTAACAGGGTAGTGTAGGGGGTGGGGTGGCGAGTACGGGGGCACAGACAGACTGAAATTGAGCCAATAATGCACACTAACCTTTGGTAAGTAAGAAATTGCACGCAAAAACGCTAGCATAGGGATGTTTCTATGTAAGCCAACACAGAATTGTTCATGGTACTAGAAGAAGTACCTTAAACTCTTCAAATAAAACGAAAAGTTAATAACTCTTTGAATTGTTAATTTTATTTTTTGAATGCAATTATATCCAAAAAATTGAATGGATTAGCAAAACATGTATAAAACCCTGGCTTCAACTCCACCGACCATGCGTCCCCCACTCATATAGATCAATTTGAAATGTTCCAACCCAGCAAAACTTTATGTCAATTACAATGTGTTAAAATGACAAACATCTATTGTTTACGATGCAACTCAAATTCTCCCTCATTCAAGGGGACCATGATGACCTGTTTGACAAGAAGTTTTTTTCGGGGCTCATCTTTCGGAGCGTCAAGACCACAGAGCTTCAAAATGAAAGACAAATCGCTTATGAAAACAACATTGAAAACAACATGCGATAAAGAAAAAGACTGCATAAAAGTGATTTTACCATTTTCCTCAAGTGATCTACTCAGTCTTAATTCTTCGGAAAAGTCTTGCCTCATTAGAGTTGGCTGAAATTTGGTGAAGCTTTTCAAATCTGGAATATTTTGAAAACTAAAGCCAGTGGATGATTGAGGTGCTTTTTCAGTTAATTATTTTTGTATCGAAATTGGCCCAAAGCTCTGCTTTGCATCTGTGTTAATTTTGGTGGGAGGTTAAACCTTTCAATAGTGAGGGAAGGCCATCTGAGCTATGAAAGTTTTTTTTGAAGAAGCTAGCGGGCGGAAACTGAAAGCAACAACAGCGTGATTATGTTGAGAAAGTGTTGCAGCGAAGGAATGTTAATTTATAGCCAAATTTTGTTTGTGACAGATTTTGCATGTGGCGAATAGCTGCGAGCTGTGCATACGACAGTAGCTGCTCGTACCGAAAATCTAGCTCATGTTCAAAATGTATAAAAAAGTGACACAATTCAGAATTGATAGTAGTTTGTCTTTTTTAAAGGTTGAAAACATATTCAATTGGTAATTTTTTATATATAATAGAGACGGTATAAAAACTGACGTGGTTAAATTACTGTTTCAAAGTGTCATCTGCAATTGCGTGAACCAATTTTTTTGCTTAATTAGAAATTTTATTTTTTGTTAGATCAAGTTGTTGCTTCATTTTGTTTTCCAAAACTATAATAATAAAAATGCAATGATGCTTTTGATTCATCAGTCAAAAACAGTTTTTTTTTGTCATTTCAATTGTTATTCAGTTTCTTTTCAACTTCGATAACGTCAAAAGATAAAAAGCATTCAACTCATGATGATGTCTGACTTTCATTTAATGCCTATCAATCTAAATGTAGTTCATGTTTCAGTCATTTTGTATTTATAATGAGCTACGATTAAATAGTCAGCCTTATTTACGTTTCTCGTACCGAAAATGATGAAACGTAACTGACAGTTTTCATCCTTGAAGCGCCAACTAAATAAGTCATAATGCGATGTTTACTCAGTTTCTGGTAAATCTTACAATTCATAAATGTTGACCAGACATTTAATTACGCTGTTATATAGCATACTTTCCATCTTTATTTGCCATTACCTCAGTTTTTGCCAAGGTTTGTAAGAGAATGATTGAATCATATAATTTTTTTTTCGATTTTTGATGAAGCTGCCTATTAAATAGAACACTCGGATACTGTAAGTTTCATTGGTTCCTTTTATTTATTACACATGTGTGCTTTAGCGAGCGTAGAATAATAGTACGTCTACTCTGTTTTTTTTTCCAACAGAAGTAGCAAATATTGGTGCCACTTTTGGGGCACTTTTACGGCGATTTGATAGCACGTGCTTTGGCATTCGACTAATTGTAAGTTAACACAGTCGATCCTTTTTTCAATCATCAAATAAACCGAAAAAAGCTAATTGTTTCAAACAACCATCAATAAAAAAACTCGATATCGGAATTTTTTGTAATTCAACTCAATTTGAAATGCATAATTTATACATAATTTGGCTTTATGATTTCCCATTTAGTAGGTGCCAAGTTAGTGAGGATGCCCCGTTTGTAATATTCTACATTATTACATGCAAAGTTTATCTATTTGCATTAAGTGTCACTTTAGCTGCATCACTTATGCATCGTTGGCAATTTATTATATGTAGCTACTTTATTTGTGGCTAGTGTATGCAAATTGTCAAGGGCTCGTAGCGCAGATGCGAGAACAGGGGCGTTGAATCTCCTGGCCGTATGATCGGCTCCGCCACAGCAAATGTTTTTTTTTTTCATGTCTCGTTTTTACTTTTTTCTTTCACTTTTAATTTTCTTTCACTATTAATTTTTAAAAGCCAAATTGCTTCTGTTATTTCATCAAGTGTTGATATCATTGCTGACATCAGTTATATTGTTGAATTGATTGCGATCATCAAGCAGTATCAAATCGGATTATAGACTTTTTTCGGGTTAACAACTCATTCAACAGAATCAAATGAATCACTCGGTCTCTTGACTCATAATGAATTAAAATTTCTAATCGTCTCCGGTACACTTAGTCTGGAGGTAACGAATACGCCTGGGACGGCAAAGGTCCTGGGTAGGAATCTGACCTGGAACTTTTTCAAACGAGAAATAGTCCGTCCAAAAAAAATTGACTACTTATTAATTGCCTGCTTATGTTTTGTCGACTTCGATGCCACATCTTAGATTTTTTTTGCTCTATGCAGTTTCAATTATAGTTGATTTTTATGTTTTCGTTTACTCCAGCACATTGTTATTATACTAACTTTGACTTCGTATTTTTTCCTTTTTTTTTTGCTTGAAAAGGTTTCCGGCCTAAATGATTTCGGCTTAAATTTTATCGGCTTATTAAGTTAATTTTGGGTCGTTTGAGGGAACCATAATTTGTATATTTGGTAAGAATTGCACTAAAAGTTAAAAATTTCAGACTAGAATTTATAGTTCAAAAGTTGTGAAGACAATATTTTTTTTTCGCCTAAAAATTGTTTTCGAATTTTCATTAAACGCCGTCTAATGTGTGTCTGGAAGTTTTTACGCAAATAGAAAATTATAAATGACAAAATTTTGAAGTGTTTTTAGTCGTGGTTTCTTTAAAAAATTTCAAGTTTTTTTGATTTCCTCCTGTCTGCTAGTTTGCATGCTATTTTTGTGGTATCGCAAGTGATGCGAAGCTCGCAAGTGTTAAAAATTGGTTCGGTTTGTCTGGTAGGTAAAGGGAGTCCTGATTTTTCTGTTAGGGGAAGGGAAACCTGATTTATCTGGAGGTAAAAGAATTAACATGCACTGGATCGAAATCAAGGTACGATTTCATACGCAATTTTGTAGATAGAAGATTAAAATGTTGATGCGCGCTGAGTTTTTTGCATTCAGTGCTAAGGTAGTCAATGGAACCGTGTTCGTAATTTGTTCAAAGAGGACTTGCGGCGTGAGATCAAACAGGGAGCGGGCACGAGTAATCGAGCATTGATATGTTTAAGGCCTTGCATGTCGTTAGCAACGTTGACTGTTCGCAACGAAAGAATCAGGAGCAACAGTACCCTGTTCGCGCATTCATATGTAGTTTTTTATACAATGCTCTGCAAAATTAAACAAAAGATTAAATAATTAAAGAAAACCCATGTTTTCTTTTTTTTTCGACCGGCTGAACCGATGAATCATTTACACTGTTGGTTTTCAGTTAAAATCTTTGTTTTGAGAGTTTTTTTAGTTTCCCTGTCCACTTAGAAGAGGTTAAAACTAAATATGTACCCGAATAAATCTCTGCAGAACTTATAAAAAGTTACTTCTAACATCGGACGCCTCAGCTAAATTACTAGATTGGACACAATGGCAGAGGCCTCAGCAACATGTAAGGTTGAACAAAACAGTAGAAATAGTAAGGGTAAGGGTTTAGTTTCATTTCTAGACGCCAGAAGGGAGCATCTTGCACGTAAAAGTTAACAAGAGTGAAAAAGTACCGAACCTCGAGAAACTCCTGTCTGGGCAATCTGGGCTGTTAATAAGTGGCGCCAGCTAAGTTAGTTCCAAAGCCATCTGACTATGCCATCGACTATTCTGGAGTCATGCAGAAGTTTCAGTACAGTATACTGGAATAGTATGTCGAATGATTTGTTTGACTCCTATCTAGCACTTTCTTTTATTTACTTCTTGCGGAGTAAATGTTGGTACCTTTCATGTTGAAAAAACCATTTCGGCTTAATTTTTGGACTAATAGGCGTCTGCCTTTTTGTTGACAGGTTAAACGCCTTTCTTTTTTCTTCTGGAGAAACTTTTCAAACTCTGTTGAGCTGATGCTCGAGGCCGGTAGTTGGCTTCCCTAAAGGGAATTTAATTTTCAAAACTTGATAGTGTTCTTATTTTCTTGCCTTTTTTCTAAACCTTTTCAAAGATACGTTTTGGCGTTTTGTCACTTTCGTTTGCGAAATGCTGCTTCGCCTCTGTGTTAACATTTGGCAGCATTCTTGTTTATTATCAGGCGCTGTTGCGAGTGTAGTGAATTGCACTGTAAAGCAAGCATCTGAATGCAGAGAACACGAGACATGCGTTGTTACGAGTGAGTCGAACGAAGGCTACCAATGCAACTGCCTCTCTGGGTTCATTCGCAATGCAGACGGACTCTGTGCTGAAATTACAACCACTCCGCCCCCCGGAGGAGCGGATGGTAAACAGAGTGTGACTAATAGTAGTGGTGCAGATAAGGAAGGTGTGATGGGGGCAAGCTTCAAAGACAGTACACCATCAGGGTCGCCTCTGACTGTCAGTTTAGGAGATAATAAGGTACGAGCATTTCGCAATAAATATTTAGCTTAAATGATTTGAACACTATGATTTAACAATGCACTACTTTCAAACGGCAATGAGGTTACGCATAGTTCATGAGTTGAAATCTCAAACCATGTGTCAAAGTTTCGACCCTGTAATGTATGTAGTAGCAGAGAAAACAACAACAATGTGAAGAAATCATTCGTTCAGTCGCTCATTTTTGAACTAAAGTGTGACAGCTTGTTTGTTTATTGACTATATCTCGTTTGCATGGGAATTTAGATTTCAATTTTTTCTGTAGAACAAAGCAAGCCCTAATTTCATGTTTTTGCCAATCTGGTAATTGTGTGCAGGAAGAAAACATAAACGAGAGCCGAAACAAATAACCGAGCGATTTGCATTTAAGCATCAATAAAACTATTGACTATACTAAGGAAAACTGTAGAAAATGATTATACTTGAAAAAACCATTTGGACATTATTCCTTTTCAGGTGTTGAAGTATCCGTTGACAAGGACACAAATTCAAGGAACAGTAATACCGACTCCAGTCTCCGAGACAGACGAGGTGGCCATGATATACAACTGGGATGTAATCTCCAAGCCAAAAGGAGACGCCTCCACCCTCGATCACAAGGTAGGCTGTTGATTGACACATTTGCAGCTACTTGCAGTCTATGTAATGCAAATAGCTGAAACAGTTTCTGAAGGATGCGGCTCCTTAAGCATTTTAAGTCATCAGTTAAAAATTTTCCTCCGTTAGTTGCGATTATTCAAAAGAGTTTGTGTCCAAGTCTGACTTATTTTCCAGCTATTTTTCTTCGATTGACTGCTGAATTCTAATTAGCTAACATAGTGTTCTGTCTTGGCATTCCATCGATCGAATATGAATGACCACCCCCCCCCCCCCCCCCTCAGGGATCCGCCCGTTTGAATTGGAGAAACCACTTTTATATTAGGACGCATCTGCGACGTTGTCCAACATGACAGCGGGCGTGTACAGTGTGCAGTTGGAGGTGAGGAAGGGAGATGCGAAGGCCTTCGACAAGATAGACATCACAGTGCAGGCCAAACCGAGGATCAACAGACCCCCAGTTGCAATAGTCAAACCAAACCCTGTCAAGGTACAGTCCCTCCAAAGTAGATTGAAGTGCTATCAGTTATCAGGCGAAATGAAGTGTTTCTTATTTTTCAGCAGTTTGTAATAAAAGCATTCTTTACGTGAACTTGGAATTTTTCCCAGCTGATTGCTTTCGACTATAAAATCCTCCATTTAGATTCGGAAGCAATCTGCTTGAAAAAGTTCAGAGGTCACATTTACGAATGATGTTGTTTTTAAAAAAAATTAAGAGCAATTGAATATAAATGTCTTTTCGGACAGTGTTGGATATTGGGCGTTCAAGAACTAAAGAAAGAGATTTCGAAAATTCGGTTTTTTATCAGCCCTGAATATGTCTGTTGTTTAACGTGTGTTCTGTAACTTCAGGTGAATTTACCAAACTCAGAGGCCATCTTGAATGGAGCAGACTCAACAGACGACGAAGCAGTAGTGTCCTACTTTTGGAAAGAAGTTAAGAGACCAAGCAACGCCAAGGTACATTTTAAACACTTCTATAATTTCAATCAATTTGAATTTTGACCTGTGACATATCTTACAGCTTGGCATGATTTATGTTAATGCAAAACAGCGGGCCATCAGAAGTGCTATAAGTGGGGTTAGAGAATCAAACTACAATAATAGGCTCTTGTCCTGTAAGATAATTAGTATGATATATCAAGGCAATCTACTAAGTTCCTTTGGCGCATCTGAACTTAAGATCATCATCATTATCATCAAATGTTTGTTGATACCCCAATTCTGGTATTCGTTGCTGTTTGGCAACTTATTTTTGTTTGTAGCATCGATTTTTCTGTACATCAAATTGATTAGAGGCCCAAAGCGGCTTTCTTTTTGGCTTTCAATACCATTCAGTATGTCAACTTGACCTCTAGCTTCAAGTCTACCGCAACAAATTAACTTAGTCGGGAATGCGGGGAAATGAGATAAACGGAGTTATGCGCTTAGACAGGCTGAAAAGCCTTTCATAGATCCTCTGCCAATCCCAGAAACATTTATTATTATTATCCCCCAATCACTTCAGCCTGTCTAATTAACATTTTGGAACCAGATCTAAACTTAGTATTTATCATTGGTTATTATTATGATATTTTATCTCTATAAAATATTAAATACTAACCAATCATACTCCATCAAACTAACAACCTATTTATTTGTAAAGTGTTGAAACTACTTGTACTTTCAACACCAGAACAATTTGAATTACACTTAGAATACAGTTGTTCTCATTCTGGAACTAACTCGCGTAAACCGGTGTACACTAGATCTATTGAGACTAGGAGATATAAGAGTAAGATTAAGATTGGTATTAGACTAAGAAGTTGCACGAATCTATCCGGCCGAAAATAAGATGACGAGCGTGACGAGCAGACGGTGTACCTTATCTGAAGTTATGTTCAAATGTCAGGAATTTTATTACTTTATATACACTGTAATAACAAGTTTGAGGCAAAATTTGAAAAATTATGCCACCTGTTCTTATAAAGCCCCCCTGTATGTAAGAGTTGGATGGTTTGTTCAGGAACTGGTAATAGACAACTCGGACCCGTCCAACCAGATCCTGAAGCTGAGCGGACTGTCTGTGGGGGAGTACGTGGTCAGTCTAACTGTGACAGATAGAGAGGGACTCCTCAACACCACCCTCGTCAATGTCACTGTCCTCCCAGCCACCGACTATCCCCCAACTGCAAATGCCGGCTCAGACCAGGTAGGAGGAGGAGGAGGAGTTTAACTTCATTCTTTTTCTCACGCAATGTTTCCCCCCGTTTGGTTTTTGATAAAATGCGATTTCCTGAATGCTATTTAAATTCTCTCTTTAATAAGTTATATTGGAATATGTCAGCGTTGCCAAAAAGTTCATCATGTGCGTATTTAGGCACATTTTTCACGATTTGATTAAGAAAAATAGCTTAATTGCTTCCTCTCGAAAAAAATTAATATTGGCGCCTTTTGTTAACAAAATTTTTTTTATCAACAAGTAATGAATATCGTGAAATATTCGGGTCGTCTGCTTCTTATAATCGAGTTTGTGATAGCGAATATTTTTTCGAGACAATTTCGTATTGTAATTTTACGAGGAATTAGGGATGTAAAATTGTTGGAAGTCTGGACTGTTTAGGTGATAACTCTGCCTGTGAACTCCATTACCTTATATGGAAATGGGAGTACAGATGACAAGGAGATAGTGAGTTACAAGTGGCAGCAGGACAGCAGCCAACAGGCCATTTCTCTCCCGGCTGACATGACTGGCACCAAGACACACACTCTCCATCTGTCCAACTTGGAGGCAGGCACCTACACCTTCACCCTCGAAGTGGAAGACAGTGCTGGTATGCATAGATAACAAAGATTTCCAACCAATCCGGATAGACCAAATTAATTGAAAAGAGCAGCAAATGGCCTTTTTGAGGAATTTTTGGGTGAAAAAGTTAGTTTGAAGACATAATTTATGTCTCAAAGCCACCTGAAAATTCAAGTGCTCTTGCAAAGTTAGGTCAAAATCTTACCAATTGGTCTTACCAATCGTGATTCGATTTTTGGGCCTTTTGTTGGCTTCATTTGTGCTGTAATCTCGGTGAGCTACTGATTCATTTAAAACAACGAAGGAAACTAAACTGACAAGAATTGGGACGAAGACCAATAAGCCGCAAAAGTGAAATATCTAAAAAGAAAACTTCCTCTCACAAGTGTAAAAACCGTTTTTACACTTCTGAGAGCAAGCTTCTTTTTAATCGGTAACTAATTTCTTCCCATTAAATAATTTTTCCTGCAAATTTTTGTAGCTTGCTTCATTGAGCAACTTCAGTTACTTTTCCAGTTACACGGGGTTAGATTCGCGGTTGCAACTTGTTTTTTCGCTATGTATATAATTAATTCACTTTTCGGCTTATTTTTCTTCGACCCAATTCTTGTCAGTTTAGCTTTCGTTTTTCAAATGAATCCATTGAATTTGTCAAATTGGGAGTCTAGGTATCTAATTATTCAATATATAAGTTTATTACATACGAGTTTATGAGCTTTGCAAGGCTTTTATGGATAGTTGTTCTGATATATTCTTCGAATGTTTTCCGGTTTTATACATGATTAGCATCATGAAAAGTCGCACTTTCTTAGGTTGTCAACTGTTTTTATTATAATCTGTATTTTAGTTTTGCAATTTTTGAATGATTGTCCATATTATTATTACCCTTGCGTTAAGCAAGTGTATTGCAATCGGGTATCAGATTCTTTTTCCAGTGAATAACTCTGTTCGGAGAATGATCAAATTTAGAAATAGTAAATTTGGGTTTAGTTCATATTTACACAAGCGAAGCGTAGTGTTTTATTAGCAAATAAAGCAGCGTAGTGTTTTATTACGAAGTTTTTTTCTACTAACCTAAGTTGCAAATAAAAGTGCTCAGGTGACTGTTTTGGTACATTTCAAATTGATCATAGTTAAGCATAAGCAAAAAAAATGGCATTTGTTGCTGTTTTATTTTTGTAGTGTTAGGTCCTGTTTGAAAAAAAAAATGTATTATGAAAATGTATGGGATTTGTTGCGAAAATCCTCAATCTAAAAAACATGATGTGGAAAGCAAAGGCTATTCCCTTGCTTTAGTAGAGAAAAGTTTATTTAGGAAAAGTCGAATTTTTGATCTATTTTTGGAATTTTTTTCCCAAAAACTACGCAGCCTAATCTGAGATAAATATATCAATTGAAAGAGGGAGTAGTAGTCTTCTCCTTTAAATAAAATAATACCAAGGTTAAGAGTTATTGCGTAATAATAATTTTATGTAGAACTTGGTGATTTAAAAAATTGTTAAAGATTTTTGTCTTAGATTTTGTTTACCCTCAATTTTGATTTTTCGCAATTTGGTTTTTGATTTTTTCCAAGTTCACTTCATTTCCGTTGTTAAAAGGAAGGCAAACTCCACTATCGAACAGCAAAAGTGTAATAGTCACAAAAAATGTGATCGACTTCTAGTTTCGAAATTGGAATTGAAGTATCAGATTTCCCAGCGAAATAAAAATGGTACCTATTGATACAGTTTTCTCAAAATGGGTTATTAATATCCAAATGCAACAATCTTAATTTTTTCGCGAAAGTCAAAAAGAGGGAAGGCCATTTATTTTTTCTTTAACTTATAAAGTTTTTCAAACTGCCATTTAGTTTTTTTTCCATTTCCTTGCATTCATTACTCTTTTCCAACTGTCAGTTGGTTTGTTTGGTATTAAGAGTAATGAACGTAGTGAAGACTCTTATAAAGGTCTTGTTGATTTTTATTGTTTGTTAAAGAAATTGATGCACTTAGGTATATATGCACTTTTTGAGTTCAATTGAAATTCTACTTCTGAAAGTGATCTAAATAGCACTTTCCAAATGCGAACGTGCAAATGGCCGCGAAAATTCGTGAACGATTTCTAGTGTCGAAAGTGGAATTTAATTTTTAGATTTCCAGCGGAATAAAAACTTTACTTGTTGATCCAGTTTTCTCAAGTTGGGTTAATGTTATCAAAAAAGCGCCAATCATATATTGCTCTAGAAATACAAAGAGCTGCAAGGGCAGCTATTTTTTCTTTGAAATTCGAAAGTTGAGATTTTTTTCAACAAATTCAGTGTTTTTTATGTTTAATTGCGTTCATTACTCTTTTCCAATCTTTGATTGGCTATGTTTATCACTTAGAAGTTAGCTCGCGATGTAAATATGCACACCGGTTCTAAACTTGCAAACCAACCAATAAATGGCGTAGACATTTTCCTCGTGAGGGCGAGAGCTAAATTCCCAGTGACCTTGTAGGCAGATCAAACCAAAGCAGATCTTCAATCAGAAAATCCATTTGTTGCCAGCTTATCTGCTCTCCCAAAAAGCAAGTTTATCTGATCACATAAGAGGTCAGGATTCCAAATTTTTAATGGAGATATTATGGAGTTTCTGTAAGTTCGGGTTAGCTGGGCCTGATTAGGTTTTTCTTGGATTTATAATTTTGTTTATTTCGGATCATGTGTTTTTTTCAGGCCAGACGAATACTGCACAGGTGCATGTGATTGTGGAGGAACCGCGAGACAAGCCCCCGAGAGCTGTCGTCAGTCCAGCAGGGCCTCGAGATGTGTTCCTCCCCGACAGCAGTGTGGTGTTGGACGCCTCTCAGAGCTCAGACGACAATGGAATCAAGACGTACAACTGGTCCATAGCTGCCAAACCACCGGGTAAAAGGCAGTTATTGTTTTGGGACAAGGGGGTGGGGGAGTCCGCCGTCAACTGTCAGTTTCAGAGATGCTGTTTTTTGTGAATGTTTTCTTTTTATGGCCTATTTTTAAGCATCATTTATGGCTTATTTTTAAGCATCATTTATGGCTTCAGTTTGAATTGTTTTGTTGGCTGCAACAACCTTCTAGCATCTATTCTATTATTTATTATCTCATGAGCTCTATTTATAACCCTTAGATTAATTAGTCAATATTTCCGTTGAATACAGAACATTATATTCACGTTTTCCTTGTATGTTTCTACATGTTATGTTTTCTACATGTAAAATTATCTACATGTATGTTTTCAACGCGTTTATTTTTTATAACTGTAAATGACTAAAATCTTGTGGCATAAGTTGAGGAGTGTTTGAAAATTGTTACCGGCTTGAAATTGGAGACTTGAAAAGGATTTTATATTACAAGAGCGTTTCAATATGTAATGACCTAATAGTTCTCTAAAATCGTTCTTTTTTATGATTTTTTTTGATGCTTTGCATGCCCGCTGTGTTAAAAGCATGCCCGCGTCTATGGTAAATGCATGGGTCAAACTCAGTGTAAAAGTTTTTGAGAGTCATAAGAATCGAGGACCCAATTTTTGAAAACTAATCGTTCAGACCAAAAATAGTGTTTTAGAAAGTGGAGCTGCAATTGAAAATTGGGATCAAGCAGTCACAAAACTAGTCCACCTAACAGTAGAAGGAACCTACAAAGTAGTTGTTCAAGTTACAGACACGAGCAACCAGAGCTCAGCTGCTGAACTGGTCGTCAATGTACATCCGGATACTAACCAGCCCCCTGTTGCCAATGCCGGGCCGGATTTGGAGGTATGTATCCGTTGGCTCTATTTCCGTTCGTCACCCACATGCAAAGTTTATTTGAAATGTTTGTTCTATGAGAATGAAATTTGGGATGCAGACTTATTGAACAATGTATGTTGTCCGTACTCAGCCTTGCAAAACGTTTGGTTGAAGAACAAAAATGATATTCATTGGCGGCAGAAGAAAAGAAAAGAAAGAACCGCATGCTTTGAATTGATTTTGCAATATATCCTTGATGTTGGGTTACAGTTAAGGAAGGAATTAATAATGGGTTACAGCTGCTTGGGTTTCCACCGCGTTCTTTTTCCAGTTCCCCCTGAAATAAGATTCGAGAAAGCATATATAAAATGAATGTTGATGCTTTCAATCAAACGTGTCAACGTGAAAAAAGTTGCAGCATTTCTTGTATACAAATTGTCGTTTGAACAATTTTCAAACTATTTTCGTTTTGTAAATTTACGAGGGTTGAGAAACTGGAGAGCTGTATGGTGTCGAAAAAGCCTCTATTCTACTCTGCGGATAGTATGAAGGCTATTTGGGCATGGCACTATTAGTAGAGGTAGAAACCATGTAGTGAATCAGTATAGCCAGTTTTTCTATTTAGCAGTCGATGAACGTAGTTCATATTCATATATGGGCCGTGATGATTCTTTTACAATTTTTTTTTGAGGAAATGTCTTTTTTTTCAGGCAAAGGAAGTCGAATTACGCTCTCCAATTACAAAAGTATCAGTAGCCCAAAAAAAACGTGATTGACTCCAATTTCTAAGTGGGCTCTATTGTTTAGATTTCCCTGTGGGAAAAATAGTTACCGTAAACCCAGTTTTTTCTAATTCGGTTTAGTTTGATGAAAAAAGTGTCAAGCATGAATTTTTCCTGGAATTGAAAGAGCTTTTATGTGATAAATATTTCCAACACACTACATACATACACACACATACACAAACATACAGTTGAAAAATGTTCAAAAATAATCCGTTTTTCGGTTTCTTAAAATTCGTTAAACTTTTTCGAACTTTCGGTTTGAATTCATAGGATAGGAATATTGCTTGATTAAGAGTAATGAAGGTAGGTAGTACTCTTATATAGCTCTTGCTGATTTTTTTTTTTAGGAAAAAGTCTTAAATTTGTTCACGCTCAATTTTGATTTTTCGCGGTTTGCCGTCTGATTTACAGTTTCAGTGCATTTCCATTGTTATAAGGAAGGAAAACTCCACTATCGAACTGCAAAAGTGTAAAGGTCACAGAAAACGTGATCGACTTCTAATTTCGAAAATGAAAATTAATTATCAGATTTCCCAGCGAAATAAAAGTTTTGCCTATTGATCCACTTTTCTCAAATTGGGTTAATTTTAACAAAAAATTGTCAATCATTAATTGTTCTGCAAAATCAAAGAGCCGTAAAGCCATCTATTTTTCTTCGAAATTCAAAAATTGAAGGTTTTTGAAAAAACAAGTTTATTTTTTTTGTCAGTTTCGTTGCGATCATTACTCTGATCAGTTTCATTTTGTTAAGATGAAGGCAAATGATTTATCGAACTGCGGAAATGTAAAGATCGCGAAAAACTCGATCGAGTTCTAGTTTTGATAGTGTTTTTACTTTCAGGTTTGCCAGCTTATCTTGAAAAATTACTGATTGATCCAGTTTTCTCAAGGTTGGGTGATTTTATCAAACTTTATCATAGGTTGTTATTGAAATTCAATGAACTTTAAGTTCATAAGTTTTCTATTAAATTAAAATAATGATTTTTTCAGAAGCCAGTCAGTATTTTTTCTGTTTCCTTCCGTTTATCACTATTTTCTAATTGTCTGTTTTCTTTTTATGTTTATCAAAGTCGATTTTGTGTAGAGGGAAGCCGTGTGCAGTCCCTCTGGGTTCGTTCGCTGTACTCACTTCATTTTATGTAATGACTTTTGATATTGATTTTAACTGGATGTTAATTAAATTAATGAAGATTTTGTTTAAGGGAGGCCCTTATCGGTTCGTTCGCTGAAATTAAGAGTCTATGCACGTAGTTCAGACTCCTATGTAGGTCTTACTGATGTTTGCTTTCGTTTTTTTAGGAAAAGTCTGAAAGTTTGTTCAGGCTCAAATGTAATTTTTCGTGGTTTGGTTTTTCATTTTTCCTTAAGTTCAGTTCATTTCCTTTATTAAAGGGAAGGCAAACTCCGCTATCGAACAGCAAAAGTTCAAGAGAAACGTGATCGACTTCAAGTTTCGGAAGTGGAATTTAATGCTCAGGTTTTCCAGCGGAGTAACTATTTCAGTATTTTTTCTGTTCATTGACAGTTATCAAGTGATAAAAAAACTAAGTGATTGTCACTTACAGATATTGATTACAAACTTGAATGGCATCTAGTTTTAAAGGTCAACCGTATAATATCTTCCCCATAATCAATATAGGGTTCAATTATAAGTGTTATTTCATTTTTTGAAAACGTTTTAGGTGGGTAGCAAGCAGCGTACAATTAAGTTACCGCGTCAATAAATTGTTCTGCTGACTAATTTTCAAAAATCGACTTTTATTTTTTTTGGATTTTCAGCGGAATAAAAAACAAAATGTTGATCTCGCATTCTCTACTTGAGTATTTTAAAGAAAAAGTGCCTATCATTAACATATCTTGAAATTCAAAGAGCTTAATTTTTTTTGGTTTCCTTGAGTGCTGTTATTTTGTTGGCTCGTAGTTTTTGTTCTGACCATTGAAAATGGGGAGGCTAGTTGTATTCGCTTGTTAAAGTTTTTTTAAATTTTTTTCACGAAAATCAGGTCCCACAAATAATCCGCGGAATGGGTCGAATGATATATCATATTGAAGCCGTTTTAGTCGTGATTCGAACATCATAAATTTTTCAAAAAGTTGTTCCAGTGTCGAGAAAATTTGTTTGAAATGTTTGAGAGTTAGTCTAACTTCGAGCGAGTAACTCGATCGATTAACGTTCGATATATAAAAATGGATAGAAATCGGTCAATTAAGCTAAAAACTGCTTGGTTACACTAAAAGAAATTTTAGTTGTGGAAGCTTCATTTATCGCTTTCTGGGCAGTAAAAATATTCAAAAAATTTTGAAACATAGTGCAAAAAAAATAGAAAAGTTAAGATTTTTTGAAAAGTTTTCATGTTTTTGTCTGTTTTTCAACTTTTGAAGATAACTGTTGTCAACTTGATACGCGTTTGTATAATTCTCTCATCACACCACCCACAAAAAGACACTTAATTACAAAAAAAAAGTTTTATTTTTCTATTTTTTCTTTAATTTATGTCTTTTTTGTGGGTGGTGTGATGAGAGAATTAAAGAAACCCGTATAAAGTTGACAACGACCTTCAAAAAATGAAAAACAAACAAAAGCATGAAAATTTTTTCAGAAAAAAAATAATTGTTTTCCATTTTGTTTGCACAATAATGTTCCAAATTTTGAATACTTTTATTGCCCAGGAAGCGCTAATTGAAGCTTCCGCGACTAGGTTTTCTTTTAGTATAATCAAGTAGTTTTAGCTCAATTGGCCACTTTCTATCAATTTTTATATATCGAACGTTACTCGAAGATAGACTAACTCTCAAACATTTCAAACAAGTTTTTCTCGACACTGGAACAACTTTTTGAATATTTTATACTATAGTTCGAATCACGACTGAAACGGCTTTAATGTGATATATCGTTTGACCCATTCCGAGGATTATTTGCGGTACCTGATTTTGCGTGGAAAACAGAAAGAAAAAACTGAAACGCTCGAATGCAAAGCACCTCCCCATTTTCACTGGTCGAAACAACAATGTCATAGGAGAACTGATTTTTTTTAGGAATCTTGGAAATAGAAGGCTCAGGTGTTAAAACCTTTGAGTTTCTTCGTAGGCTTCGAAATTCAGAACTTACAACACGGATAGCCGGTAGCTGTGCCTGTAGCACAGAATGATCCGACCGCATTTTAAAAAATACAAAAAAAGTTATTTTCTATTTTTTCTTCAGTTTTTTTTAAATGTGGTCAAATCATTCTGTGCTACATGCACAGCTACCGCCTATCCCAGTTGTAAGTCATTAGTTCGTATGTTTACCTTATAAATAAGAGTCGGACCTTCGGCAAAAAAAAAATCAAATGAATTAGCGTAAAACAGGTAATGTAAATCCTTCAAAATGAAATCGTTTTTTGTTTTTTCTTAGTTTTTATCAAACATCATGTTTTACAAAGTATAGCGTTGAAAATAATTTAGAACCTTTAGTATTTTTCGTTAAGCCCTCGCATTTCTTAGTTGCCTAAAGATTCGGTACATATCTGAGAAAATGGGTCTCATTTCATTACGTTGAAGTATTAAATATGCTCACCTCACTGCAGCTGGCCTTTTAAAGTTCTAAACAAAACAGCAGCAGTTAACCTCACATTCTTCCGGTGTTAATAGGAAAAATTACTCTAAGGCGTTTATCCGAAAATTAAGTGTGCCCAAACTTAAATTGACTGTTTTTTCTTAAGAGTCGGTGAACTTAGTTCGGAGTTTTATTTTTTTTGTTCAGGTGAGGTGGCCTGTTGATCTACTGGCAGTGAGTGGAGAAAAATCGACTGATGACGGCGAGATTGTGAAGTGGGTGTGGGTTAAGGCGGAGAACGAGAGAAACAACCCGGCTGGAGGCAGAGCTGTGAACCAGTCAGACACGAAGCCAGTGATGCTGTTGTCTGGACTAGTGCCGGGCTTATACCTGTATCATTTGACTGTCCAAGATGTTCAAGGTATGCTTGCTCAAGTAAATGCCTTGAGATGTCTTTATTGTTAAGACATTAGAAGTTTGTCAGAATGCGCGGAATGAAAATGCTTTGTGCATTTTTGCATACAAGACTCAATTTTGTAATTGTCATGAGTCATAGTGAGTTTACACATGCGAGCTAGCGAGTGTTGTAATATAGTATGCATCTGCTTTTTTCTAGCGTTACATACAAATAAAAATGCTGATTTGATAGCATTTTCGTTACATAGCATGTGCAATTTAGGAGCATCTATTGTACCTGCTTTTCTGGTGTCTATTTTTGTGAAGCTACCATGGCGCAGATGAGAGGACAAGAGACATCCAATCTCCAGATCGGCGGCTCGATTACGGCACAAAGTCAAAGTTTTTTAAGGCTTGTTTTGGCCTTTTTTAATTTTTTTTGTGTACATTTTGGAGCTACTTTTTGCGCTTTTCTCGCTTGTTTGCAAAGTGCAGCTTGGTATCTGTGTTCAAATTCCACAGAGTATGTTTGACTAGGTTCTTGAAATTGAAATTATCGACGGAATCTAAACATTGGTTTGTTATGAAACCTTTAACGTTGGCATCAATATATATCTAAGCTGAAGTCAAATCTCAGAAAAAGAAAACGTTGACATTTTTATGCCGTTTCGTTCTTTAAGGTCTCCAATCTACCGACTCAGTGGTGATTAAAGTGGTGGAGCCGACATACATGCCAAACCTGATCGAACTGCGACTACGAGTGCCTTACTTGACACTCCCGCACGACACTTTAATCAACATCAAACGAAACATCGCAGTCGATTTGGAGGTGGAAGATAGCGAAGTCGTCATTGTCAACATCGGCGAAAACCGACAAGACGGCAACACCTTTGTACTGTTTTACGTCCTCGAACAGAAGTTGTCTACTGTGAAACGAGGCTCAGGAGTTAGAGACCTCATTTCCAGGAAATTAGACGCGGAGCCGAAGCGTTACACATTTGATACTATTATGGTTGAGACATATATATGTCAGAATAATTGCAGTGGCCACGGGAACTGCAATTCGTTCACGAAGCAATGCGAATGTGACGGGTTCTGGATGGAGAATGTGATCAGTCGGAAATTTTTAGGACATGAGTCGAATTGTGATTGGTCGGTTTTGTATTTCGTAATTATAGCGGCCTTGACGATGTCTTGTGTGATATTTATCCTGTATGTTTTGGTTTTGTATACAGACGTGTTTCAAAGGTGCTCGTTTTGTAGGTGTTATAGCTTGAGCGATAATTCAAGCTCGAATGCATCTAAAGTCGGAAATGGTCGGCTAGTTACTGGATCTTTAAACGGTATGAAAAAATTAAGAAGACGGCGAAAACGAATAAACAACAACGAGTACTTAGAAGTTGCACAAACAAGCAAGTCGCTTGGTAATACAGTTGAAATTAATTTGTCGACTGGAGAAAATTCTTCGGATGAATTATTTACTGCAAAGCCAAGTGGTCTAGTTGCGAACGGAGTTCACAAGAACAACGGGTTCCAATCTGTGGCTAAAGAAACTTAATTGTGCAGAACTTAATAGTAGTTAGATGATGTTCAAATGCAATCTCAGCTAGGCGATGTGTTACAATTACACTCCTAAAAGTATACAAAAATTTAATTTATGTTTTTAAAGCCCGAGCTGCGATAATTAGTAAAATAATAAATAGCAAGTGTATTCCCAAGCAAAACCAATCTAAACTTAAGAAATGTCGCAAATTCACAATTCTCAGAGAAATTACATCTCCTCTTTATATCACTTGTACATCTCAGCTTGGCTATCATAGAGCTTGCGAAGAAACTTACTCTACTTATGATATTTGCTCAAAATAGAACCTATTTTAGGGGAATTGGGTTTGGTCGTGAAATATGCTTCCCTGTCATAGGAGCTTTATGTTGTAAACCATCGCCTTTAAATATAATCTCAATTGTACATTAACTGCCCAACAGTTTAATTTGGTTAATATTAATTACCACTGAAATTAGCAAACGTTATAGTAATCTAACTCGATATCTTGTGGTTTTCTGTTTCATGGTTATGGTCAATCGGTGTTCTCGTTAAATTGTTTATTTTTATATATGTTAAATGAGCTTGAAATATTTTCAGCGAAGCAAATATCTGTAAAATATCGATTCTTAAATTCATTTTCTTGGATTGTTTTAATACCCAAAGGACAGCTGTATAAGCTAAAAATTAAAACAATGGGCCATTTATGGAGACAACAACATCGATGCTCGTCAGAAAAATGTAGAATTAAGTCTCAAAAAAAGGAAGAAATAACTCGTCAAAGATTAGCTTCCTTTTTGCTTTCTTTTTGCTTCCTGTTTGTGGCGCTTGCATCTTCTCTACCGGAGCGCGTCACCCGTGCTTGGAATGATTTTAAAGAACTTCGCTATTTCGGTCGGCTGTAGCACAGGTCAATTGGGGTCGAGATTGTGGGGCAGTCAAAATGTGAACGACAGTATGGAGCAGGACAGAAGAATCCATTTGGAGTGGTGGAATCTATTTTTGAGATAGATATTCAAAAACGGGCTGTAATCGGATCCTAGCTGTTTTGCCGTACTATTAGTTGATCGGCGGAGCTTTTCCTTGATCATGGATATATCAGGTTGGCGCAGCGAAAGCTGGGAATAAGGGCGTCATTGATTGCCGTGGTAAATTATTTCATGAGAATGTACGCAAAAAGTAACAAACTCATTAGAAACAAAGTTGCTTCTTATCCTTAAAACTGCTACAATATCTGTGCTCTTGAATTAGTTCGTCGAATTGGTCTTGGATGTATGTGAGTGCAAAAACATTGTATAGGAGTACATGGGAACTTTGAGTTAAGTTATTTTAACTGTACTCAGAGTAATTTTAGATAAGGTACACCGTCTGCTCGTCACGCTATCTTATTTTCGGTCGGATAGGTTCGTGCAACTTCTTAGTCTAATACCGATCTTAATCTTACTCTTTTATCTCTTAGTCTCAATAGATTTAGTGTACACCGGTTTACGCGAGTTAGTTCCAGAATGAGAACAACTGTATTCTAAGTGTAATTCAAATTGTTCTGGTGTTGAAAGTACAAGTAGTTCCAACACTTTACAAATAAATAGGTTGTTAGTTTGATGGAGTATGATTGGTTAGTATTTAATATTTTATAGAGATAAAATATCATAATAATAACCAATGATAAATACTAAGTTTAGATCTGGTTCCAAAATGTTAATTAGACAGGCTGAAGTGATTGGGGGATAATAATAATAAAGGTTTCTGGGATTGGCAGAGGATCTATGAAAGGCTTTTCAGCCTGTCTAAGCGCATAACTCCGTTTATCTCATTTCCCCGCATTGCCGACTTAGTTAATTTGTTGCGGTAGACTTGAAGCTAGAGGTCAAGTTGACATACTGAATGGTATTGAAAGCCAAAAAGAAAGCCGCTTTGGGCCTCTAATCAATTTGATGTACAGAAAAATCGATGCTACAAACAAAAATAAGTTGCCAAACAGCAACGAATACCAGAATTGGGGTATCAACAAACATTTGATGATAATGATGATGATCTTAAGTTCAGATGCGCCAAAGGAACTTAGTAGATTGCCTTGATATATCATACTAATTATCTTACAGGACAAGAGCCTATTATTGTAGTTTGATTCTCTAACCCCACTTATACCATTTCTGATGGCCCGCTGTTTTGCATTAACATAAATCATGCCAAGCTGTAAGATATGTCACAGGTCAAAATTCAAATTGATTGAAATTATAGAAGTGTTTAAAATGTACCTTGGCGTTGCTTGGTCTCTTAACTTCTTTCCAAAATTAGGACACTACTGCTTCGTCGTCTGTTGAGTCTGCTCCATTCAAGATGGCCTCTGAGTTTGGTAAATTCACCTGAAGTTACAGAACACACGTTAAACAACAGACATATTCAGGGCTGATAAAAAACCGAATTTTCGAAATCTCTTTCTTTAGTTCTTGAACGCCCAATATCCAACACTGTCCGAAAAGACATTTATATTCAATTGCTCTTAATTTTTTTTAAAAACAACATCATTCGTAAATGTGACCTCTGAACTTTTTCAAGCAGATTGCTTCCGAATCTAAATGGAGGATTTTATAGTCGAAAGCAATCAGGTGGGAAAAATTCCAAGTTCACGTAAAGAATGCTTTTATTACAAACTGCTGAAAAATAAGAAACACTTCATTTCGCCTGATAACTGATAGCACTTCAATCTACTTTGGAGGGACTGTACCTTGACAGGGTTTGGTTGGACTATTGCAACTGGGGGTCTGTTGATCCTCGGTTTGGCCTGCACTGTGATGTCTATCTTGTCGAAGGCCTTCGCATCTCCCTTCCTCACCTCCAACTGCACACTGTACACGCCCGCTGTCATGTTGGACAACGTCGCAGATGCGTCCTAATATAAAAGTGGTTTCTCCAATTCAAACGGGCGGATCCCTGAGGGGGGGGGGGGGGGGTGGTCATTCATATTCGATCGATGGAATGCCAAGACAGAACACTATGCTAGCTAATTAGAATTCAGCAGTCAATCGAAGAAAAATAGCTGGAAAATAAGTCAGACTTGGACACAAACTCTTTTGAATAATCGCAACTAACGGGGGAAAATTTTTAACTGATGACTTAAAATGCTTAAGGAGCCGCATCCTTCAGAAACTGTTTCAGCTATTTGCATTACATAGACTGCAAGTAGCTGCAAATGTGTCAATCAACAGCCTACCTTGTGATCGAGGGTGGAGGCGTCTCCTTTTGGCTTGGAGATTACATCCCAGTTGTATATCATGGCCACCTCGTCTGTCTCGGAGACTGGAGTCGGTATTACTGTTCCTTGAATTTGTGTCCTTGTCAACGGATACTTCAACACCTGAAAAGGAATAATGTCCAAATGGTTTTTTCAAGTATAATCATTTTCTACAGTTTTCCTTAGTATAGTCAATAGTTTTATTGATGCTTAAATGCAAATCGCTCGGTTATTTGTTTCGGCTCTCGTTTATGTTTTCTTCTTGCACACAATTACCAGATTGGCAAAAACATGAAATTAGGGCTTGCTTTGTTCTACAGAAAAAATTGAAATCTAAATTCCCATGCAAACGAGATATAGTCAATAAACAAACAAGCTGTCACACTTTAGTTCAAAAATGAGCGACTGAACGAATGATTTCTTCACATTGTTGTTGTTTTCTCTGCTACTACATACATTACAGGGTCGAAACTTTGACACATGGTTTGAGATTTCAACTCATGAACTATGCGTAACCTCATTGCCGTTTTTGATTATATGAAAAATGGGAGTATCGAGTTTTCGTCAGAGTTTTCGTTTTACTCGATCTTGTTTTATATTCAATATGTCTTATTGGTTGGAGCCAATTATATAGACGTATTGGTTTGTTAATATGTGACTTTTTTTTGCGTTTTTCTTTTTTTTGATGATAGTGTTGTGGCTTCTGAGTCGAAAAAATATTGTTGGTCGTCGATCGAGTTATTTTTGTTTATCGAATCTTTTTAATCTTGAAGTTCTTGCATCGTGTTTCTTTTTGATGCTGACACTGCGTTTCTTCGTTTTGAAAATCGTTTTCTGATAATTTGTTTTGTTTCGTTATGATTCTTTTTTCGCCTTTGTCTTTTTGATCTATTGTATCCTATTGTTTGTCTATGTGGTGTGATTACGTTTGTTTAGTTTTTAATTAAACAATTATGTAGTACGATTGTTTGTTTGCTACCTAGATTATCTCTTGACAAAGTTTAGAATGATGGATGCAATATTTTTGGATTAAGTTTTTAATTTCTTAAACTGTTAGTAGTAACGCGTTTTGTGTGTTTATGTTAACTTGGGGCAAAGATTGTCGTGGTTGACTGGTTGGAGAGAGAGTAGTATATCAATTCGTGAGAATGGTTTTTTTACTTTCTCGTGACTAAGTTCTAATTCAAGATAAACTTACCTTATCTTACTTAGGGGTTATGATTTGTGATCAAGGGTTGGAGAATAGTAAATCAATCGAAAAGGTTCAGATACAATTAGAACGCGAGTAGATCTTTAAATAATCTTTTATGACTTTATCTAAAATAAAGTGTTTTAGCCTGGGTCATCTAAGAGGAAGGGCACAAGTGAAGAATGAGTAACCAAAGTTCTTCACTGTTTAGCTAAATTTAAATGGTTAGTTCTTTCAAAAGTTCATATTAGTCATGGGTTGTTGATAAGGGTTGGATAGTGAATCGACATTTGAGGTCGTTAGACACTAAAAAATGTGGGAGGGGGACAACAAAATTGTTCTGCTTGATCCAAGGAAAGCCTTGATGATCCGAATTTTAAAAATTTTATTTAAGTTTTTTCAAAGACCCAAGGAAAGCGTTGATGATCTGTTATTTTAATTAAAGTAATTTAAGAGAACAAGGACAAGCCTTGATAAGACTTAATGTAAAAGTAAATTCATAAAGTTAAAGGTAAGAGTTTAGATGATGTTAGTTTTTGAAATTTGCTGTTTTTTTAGGTGATGAAGCTGGGATGAAGAAATGATGTGTATAGATTAATAAAACTTACAAGTATTTTTTAATATGAACTAATTTTTGTATTTTTTTATTCCATCAATTATTTGTTTCAAAGTGTTTTAATTTACGACAGATTTTTTTTGCGAGAACGACTTGTGTTGTTTTTATCAATCGTTTTTGTATAAATAGTAGGTTTAGCACCATTAAGGTTACTGTAGGTTTTCTTCAAATTTCATGTCAGCAAATGAAAAAAAAAATTAAATTTACTGCGGAAAGGATTCTAAATGCATAGGTTTGTTCCGGTTTCCGTCGTACTATAATGAAATCAATCGGTAGTTTTCTTCCTAATCGTAGATCGTGCCTTGTCTTTGGTCTCGCAATACCTGGTTTTTCTGGTTTTGTTTGGAAAATTGGCGGATACCTATATTTGTCTATTTCATCTAACATTTTGGAATTGTCTAATTCTTAAATCTATTTTTTCTAATTCTAAGTTAGTTAAGGTCTTGTTCGAGACTTGGTCGCACCAGATGAGTTAAGTTATTTTTACTGTACTCATAGAGTAATTTCAGATAAGGTACACCGTCTGCTCGTCACGCTATCTTATTTTCGGTCGGATAGGTTCGTGCAACTTCTTAGTCTAATACCGATCTTAATCTTACTCTTTTATCTCTTAGTCT